TGTGGCTATTGTTAGATCTTCTGGGTGAGTGCTGCAGGCTGCAGTCTGCCTGAGGTGGTCAGCAAAGGTGTGCTGCCAGATATATTTGGATTTTCAGTATCAGTTCAATACAAAACAAATATACTTACTGGAATGTGCATGTATCGCTTCCCACAAGTGTGCACAATCACTACAGTAAATGTACATTTTCCTCCAGGTCTATGTTATGTATATTAATTAACTAAGCTCTGCCTATGTTAACAGGCCAAAATGTTTACATTTACTCTCCAGTATTTGGGTCATCGAAGAATCCACATCCACCTTGGGTGGGGGGATATTTAAATTAATGCGTTGGCAAATTTTACAAGCACAGAGCGATTTGTTTCTATGTCAATATAAACAATGGTACGGATTAGATACCTCACAGAAAAATGCCCAAATAGACCTAAAAGTATCAGATTCACATGAGAAGGCTCAAGGGAGCCATCCTCTTCAATGGCTGACTGTATAACTTATGGCTTTAGTGGAGGAAATTAATGAATAGCGTATAGGCCAGGGATAAAGGATCAGGGCAATTGTATTATATTAAGATGGTTCGCAGGCAATAAGTACAAATCCATTGCAAGATAGGCCTCCTCAGTCTTGCTTTGCTCCCCCAGGGCAGAGGGAACGACAGACCCAGCACTTTCAGCTGTAAATCTGTCGATCAGTCCCTTGACAATTGTGCTGCCACTTAAGCCGCTGAACAGGGAGGATGGATGATATCAGATGCCAGGATAAACACTGGTAGGGCACCGAGATGCTTGGAGGCAAGGAAATCAGACAGCTTAAAAGCCATTGATAAACAGAAGATGTAAAAATTCTAAAAATACAACGGATGGAAAATATTTTGGTCATGAGAAAGACAAAGAAAGAGAGTATTTGTCCCAGTAAATAAAGCAGATTTATAAGGATGCAGGAAAAGTAAAGCTATTTCTGTAATGGTTGGTTTGCCAAAGCTATCGTGCTTGACCAGGTGCTTCATGACTTTAGACAAAGACTTTAACACTAGAACCGCCAACGGGTACATTTTACCCGCAGCTGTTTGATTAGATTTTTTGTTTTTTTTCAATAAAATATTAAAGTCTCCCAGTCTGTGACTTTTTCTGAAAGTGTGTTATGTAGCACCCTCTGTTGTTAAAAATGGTCAATATGAAGTCAGATTGAAAAAATGTATACCTATATCCGCCAGCGGGTAATATTTACCTCATAGAAAATGCAGCGTAAACATGACGTGTTGCTAGCAACGCCTTTTGTCTACTGCGGTTCCTTATTAGAGCGATAGATAGATATATTGAGACAGAGATAGAGAGAGAGAGAGAGAGAGACAGATGGATAGTTATAGATAGTGTAACATCTTGGAGAATACAAGATCTTGGATGACTGAGCTCACGCATGCATGTGTGCATGTTACGTGCCTGTTGAATAAAGATGGACACTCGGAATGAGAGAAGTAGTCCACGTCGTCTGTTTATGTAGACAATTATATGTCCATAGAACAGAAGATTACAGATAGATAGTTATATATAGATAGAGAGAGAGAGAGATTTGTACCTGAACAAAACACAAGTCTAACACCAAGCGTTTAAATCCGCACTGGTAGCGATATGTTATACTTCATGCTATCTGCACAAACTATATCATATTTAAAGCTGAGAGTCCACAGATTCTATTGGTATTCGTTTCATCCCTGTGCGATCAAAACTCACTGTTCTGTATGATAAATAAAAGAACATTGTACCTTGAAAATCGATAGCGGGTACATTTTACCCGTTGGCGGTTTTAGGTATACGGCGACCTCTGGCGGTTCTAGTGTTAAAATAGCTTGGATACCAATCTGCTTACACTGTTCTCTGGATTGTATAACTGACAGCAAAGCCTGGTGGTTTACTGATGCTCATTACACACCTTTTTAATGTTAAAAGTTGCTTGACTTAATCTTTTGTGAAAATATCTCAGAAGTAGGCAGAAATGATTAGGTTTGGATTCTCCACAGGCTGCTTTGGCTTGAACAGTGGCAGGTAATTGAGTTTTCCAGCAGGAGAACATTTATCTTTATTCAAAAAGTCAGATAATAGAGCCTCATGTGAAATATATGCTTTGTGCGCATTGCTACTCTAACAAAATGGAAGAGGTGTGAGACAGGGTGAATCTAGACTCTAGAGCCTATTGAATAGGAACTTGAAGAATAAAGGGCTGGAAACAACAACACTTTTACTCTACAATCGTACAAGATTAAAATTCTCCAATTGAGGTAATACGGTAACACATTTTTCATATTTTGCAGACACTACATGAATGTTACACGCCTGCAGCAAGTTTGTGTAAAGAACCACACATGGAAAATGTAGTGGAGAGAAAATGGGGAATCATGAGCACAGCAACTTTTGGTATATAGTCATTTTCTCATTTACTCCCCAGTCCTCTCCTCTTTCCATTCTAAAATAGAGTCCATGGGGAGCAATAATGAATCGTCATGAAATGGGCGTAAACCACCAGCGGTTTTCTTCAATGTCCTTATTTCATTCAGACAAAATGACACAATAAAGACAGCTCAAATCTAAAAGATCATCATCATCGACATCATCGACATCATCGACATCATCATCATCATCATCGACATCATCATCATCATCAAATAATTGTCTTATAATTATCTCTGCTTGTTTCAGCCTTTTTCTGTTTCTCTTCTGCAGTCAGGCTCATTGTCTCTTTCCACTTTCTTCTTCACCCCTGTAATATCATTATTTTGCTGATTTATGGGAAAGACAAGTTCCTAAAGTTCACATCCACTATTGACATGGATGTTCTCACAAATCGTTGATCCAGTGACTAAAATGTTTTAGCTAACTATCTAGATAATGGAACAATTTTTCAATTATTTTAGATTTTGGACTGTTTGGACTAAAAAAGCAAATAAAAAATACCAGCTTGGGCTTTAAGACATTCTAATTGTAACCATTTTATTCAATGAATGTAGCATATTTGGTTGGAAAATGAAGAAAACAATTGTGTGATTATTATTACATTATGTTGCATTACCTTTAAGGCAAAAGAATAATCTTTCTCTGTAGTTGCAGCCTATCGAGCGGTTGTGACTGGTTAAGGTCATACTATGTTTCGATGTGACCCTGTTGCTACTATCAGCCTGCAGGGATGTTATTTCCTTCCCCCCGCCCCAGGATTTAGCTGTCTATCCTTCTTATAGTCATTCTCTGGGCCCTCTGCATAGACCTGGCACTGGATAATAGCTGAAGGTCAATCTAGGCTCTGTCTGTGCATGCCTGCGTGCCTGTGTGTGTTGGTGGAGGAGGGTGTATTTGTTATGATTGAGCGATGAGGAGACCAAAAGTCGATGAAAAATCAAGTCCAGTGATTAGAGCAGGAGGCATATAACATAATTACTGTCAGCCTAATTTGCATACAATGTGCATAAACCCACATAAACACACTCTTACTCTTATCTTACTTTCAAACAGACATAGAGGACACATGACCTTGAGACCTCACTAGCAGAATTCACCATGCATCGATTGCAAGGCAATGCTTAAGTGTCACCTAGGAAAGCATCAGTACATTGACAGACCTTCACAATCCGTCAAGTGTTATTTTACTGCCACTAACGGGATAGGATCTTGGATTATTCTTTTGATGCAGCTCCCAGTATAACAGTTATATTAGCCGGACAATAAAATTAGAATGAGATTTGTGATCAATAGCTTAGTACATTTATATATATGTATTCATATGAGATATCTTACCCCTGGCATGTCTGAAGCCACTCCAAAACCATGGCAGTAAATGGAAATGTGTTTGTGATGCTCAGGGTACTGAGAGATTACATTTTAAATATGTATCAGCATTTATGTTCTCAGTTTCTTAGTATAAGCTACAACTTTCATCAGGACTACTTTCTGCATAAGAAATACATTTATGAATATTTGAGATGTTATGGTAGGTCAGTTTGATCAAAGCCCAGACAAGCAGTAGTTCACTTATGTGTTTGATAGAGGTCAACCCAAGTTGCGTCTAAAGCCACGTGGCCTTTATTTATTCAGATTTGATGAAACTGCTGTGATCTAACTGAGAAACATGAGTCAAAGCCAGAATTAGTTATTTCTTTCTTTGTCCCTGCAATATATTATCCTATTTATTGAAAATGCTTTAAAACTTTCAGATCATACTGAAAGTGACTTTTGAAAAAACATTAGTCTGAAATAAGATTTGAAATTGTTTGTAAAAAAACACCTGCAAAAAGCAATTACTTGGGTGTTAGTGTTTTGTCAAGATCTACAGTATGAAAGGGTATCCTATAATCTACAAGAAAATATAATATACCTTTGCAATTCTGAAGGAAATTAGCCTTACTGTGGGGACTAGAAGACCACCAAGGATAGGAAATTGCAAATTTAGTCATTAAGGATGAGACAAGACTGGATTCTAAAGGCATATTACTTACAGAGGCAGAGCAAAAAACCGGCAACAGATCTAGCAAAAGATTTTCTCTACATAAAATGAATACGACTACTTAATCTACTGAGGAAGACCACAAGATGTTGTTAAAATATTTGGTAACAACATGATAGTTGGACAAACCGGTAAGACTCAATATATGATTATTGTGTTTTAAGTAATTGATCTGTGTGGTTGGAAAAAGACCAATGACAACACCAACTGACAAAACAAAAGTTAAACACAGACAATTGCACTTTATATTCACTAAAGAGAATAATGCTCTGAAAGCTAAAGAAAAAATCCTAATAATCAAAGCTCTCGGATCTCTGGTCTGGATGAATAAATAAGAGTATATGAGCACAACTTTTCAAGTCATACAAGTTCATAACTTTACGACGTAAAATGCTATTATTCTCAGTCAGTGTTGTTGCCATGGTACCGGGATATTTTTCAGCTTTGACCTCACTCTCAAAGCTGTGTCAGCACAGAAACAAAACCTGTTGTGTTGAAAACCTGCATTAAGACTCATGTTTGTGTCTCCTCCAGGTTCCCATGATTCCTTTAGTTTTTACATTGACGAGGCGTCTCCAGTTGGCCCCGAGCAGCCGGACACTGTGCAGAACTTTGTGTCTGTTTTTGGCACGGTGGCCAAGAAGCTAATGAGAAAGTGGTTGGCTACACAGACCATGAACTTCACGAGCCAACTGGAGGCTGGGGTCCGCTTCTTTGACCTGCGCATCTCCACCAAGCCCCGTGACCCTGACAACGAGCTGTTCTTCGCCCACGGGCTATTCAGCGCCACGGTCAGCATACAACTCTGAAGTTTTCTAATGCGATGAATATTTTTCCAATGCATGTGGCTGCTAAGTAATGTTTGTACATATCTGTGTATTTGGCAGCATATTAATGTGAGTTTTATCAACAAGTGCCTATATTTAATCTCATTATGTGTTAAAATAAATTGTTAATACCTGTGTTGTTCATATTTGTGTCTTTTAGGTCCGAGAAGGTCTAGAGCAGATCAGCGGTTTCCTGTCAGCTCATGCCAGAGAGGTTGTGTTCCTGGATTTTAACCACTTCTACGGCGTGCAGAACATGCACCATGAAAAACTGGTGTCCATGTTAAGAGAGGTGTTTGGAGACAAACTCTGCCCGGTCATCTTCGCTCAGGAGGTACTGTCCTATTCAGATACACTAGACACTTCACAGTGAATCATGTTTTGTGTTTTCCTGTTGTGCCACATGTATTGTTGACATTTATGTTTAGTGTTTCTTTTTAGTCTTTGTTCTTTTATAACTCCTTGTGCAGAATGCTTTGGCATTAATGTTCAAAATGTAGTCATGCCAATAAAGCCCTTTTCTATTGTATTGTATTGAGTAGGACTTAAAGCAATTAAGTGACCTAGAAGCTGAACAAAACTATGCTTTTTTTTTTTACCTCAGCCATTCTTGATTAAGAGAAATAAAAAGTAGGCACATATTGTTATTGTCAGTGTGTGTTTTGTGTATGTATGTGGGTGTGGGGGCGGGGTCTGAGAGTGTGTGTGTTCAAAACGCTTTTAAATAATTATTGTTTTATCAGCCCTGCATAGCCGTGATCATTGTGTTTTGATCTCTTGTGAAACAGAATGATTATTATCATGTTTTTCCACATATTCCCTTTTGCATAGAAGTTGAATAGGTAATGTCTAACTAGGGCTTTTCTCCTGAGTTTTTTTATTCTTTCATTATCATACACTGTAAAAGTACTGCAACTAAAGCAATGCTTATACAATATTGTGGTTTACACTATAATATTGTGCAAAAAAGTTGAATGTTTTCCTTCTTTAATTAATAAAACAGAAACTACAAGTAGAACTGCACCAACGTGTAACATTTATCTTTTTCGGAATATTTCAATTCTGGCAGGTTTCAGTCTCAGTAATTCTGAGAAATGTTTTCATAATATGTTTTCCTCTTGAATAGCCTGTAACTCCACCAGTTCTCTTTAGTAATTTTAGTATTAAGCAATACACTCTGATTAGACATAAAATAGCAGTTGTCGTCTGAAATACCATTTTTGAACAATCAACACTGAATATTGAACAGCGTTGCAGAAATAGGCATCACATTAGGCAATTATATCCACTTATTTTATTTGCTTCTTTTAAATGAACACAAAGCTTTCTAAAAAACTGCCAGGTACATCTTAGCTACCTGTTTTAAATGTCACTGAGCACAGAAGTTGCTCTTATGTGTTTACAATAACTTATCCCATCATATTTTCTTATTTTCTTCGAATCTCAAAATGGCCGCTCTTTATATACCTCCTGCTGCGCTGAATACATGCCTCCATCCCAGGTGTCTCTGCAGTATCTATGGGAGAAGGAGTACCAGGTGCTGGTCTTCTACCATCACCCCATGGCCCTGGAGGTGCCCTTCCTGTGGCCCGGGCAGATGATGCCCTCCCCATGGGCCAACACCACCGACCCAGAGAAGCTGATTCAGTTTCTCCAGGCGTCAGTTACTGATCGGAGGTCAGCCTTTACCTTTATTACACTAAGAGGGCACCCTAATGCATGACGCGGTGGACCCGTTCAAATCCAGTTTTGGACAGTCTGCCGTGGTTCCATCCCATTTCAAGCAGGTAGCACAATCTACCTGCATTGCATTACTCTAAACGTGTAATAACGTGCTTTAACCAGTAGGTGGTTTGGGTTAAAAAGCTGTCAAGTTTACAGTGTTAACAAAATAAAATATACTGCTGTTTCTGGTTTAGTTTATGACGGATATATTTAGTTATTGTTTTGATATTTTTAACACAAAAGCGATGGAAAAAAACCACAGAAACACAGCAAATATGGTCTTAACATGACCCAGTGGTCTAGTAGTTAATAAAAAACAATAATATCAAAACAAAATATTACTACTAACTTTATTGTGAAATTCAAACTGAACGGTNGGACTGCCGCGGGGGCGTTGGAAGGCGACGCTGGGACCTTCGGGGAAGAAAACTGGAGCTCATCATTCTTTCTTTTTGGATTCACAGCCTGTGCACGAGCGTAGAGCGGAGCCAATTATGCCCTCTGGAACAATAGGGCATGTCCAAGACGTCTCTTTTTCCCGGTCTGGAAGCTTCGTCAGGTTAAGCCACCTGGCTCTCTCCTGTACCACCATGTATCCCAGTGCTTGCCGTGGCGTTGGCCTGCGCCAGCACTGCGACACGGGAGGGCAAATGTCGTGATCGCTGCGAATTTCGTCCACACGGCAGGTCAGGTTTGTTCTTCATGTCTCGCAGAGCTCGCCGGGTAGGGCGTCGCGCGAGGAGAGTTGAGGCCCTGCGGACAAGAGCTGCGGCTTTTTATAGGCTCGTTCGGTCTTGCTGACTGAGCTGTCTGCCTTTGCGTAGCGTGGGTTCCTGGGCTTCGTGCCGAAGCAGCCGCGTTGGAGGTGGGCTGCACATGCGGCTCCACTGGGCGCCATGCGGAGCAGGCGAGCTTTCATGCGTAGTCACAATCCAAGAAGACGGAGGCACGCCCTGGTTGGGGCCTTGTGCCTTGAAGGGCGCGGGTCTTCCACGGAACCGACACCTCGTCCAGCATCTGTGGAAGTGGGAGAAGCTGCCTCTTCATCCTCGCTGCTTGGGGCAGTTCTTGCCCTCATAGCGAGATCTGGAGTCTCTTGGCCACTTCAGGCCAGGGGATGTCCGCCTGGATGCAGCGCATGGGCAGGACGCTGGCAAGTCCAACTGGAGGCAGGGCGAGCTGGGTGCTTTGGGGGGCGGGACATCGCTTCGGCGTTGGCAGCCTGGGCAGATGAAAGAAGAGGTGCTCTTGCATGCTCCAGTCCGGTCGGATAAGAGGAACTCGGAGGAACGCTTTCATCCTGTCCGTCCCACGTATATCAGCTCTGGACTCCTCCGCGGGTAGGACCACGGTGAGGTCCAGTTGGGGCCGCTTGAGTCCAGCGCGGGGCTCCGCTTTCTCGCGGCTCTTGCGCCCGGGGCCCAGCCGACAAAAGGAGAAACGACGGGGTAGATTTTTCTTAAGAAGATGATTACAACTGGTTGTGTTATATCTTTCTTATCTTTCGTCGCTCTGGTTGTCGCGGGGAGAAGGACTTCCGTCTTCGCTCGCGCTGTGGTGTCGGCGCGGAGGGACTACAGCTAGCGCACAGTATGTTACTGTTTGAAGAAAAAAATCAAACATTACCGTTATTTCGAAAGAAAAAACGGCGGGGCAGATTACAATATTAACTGGTGTGTTAGTATTTTCAATCTTCTGCTTCTGCAAAAAAGTAACCGGCAAGCGCCCGTTGACCGAATGTTAGCTTGGGTTCAGTCTGTGGACCGTTAAGCTAGCCCGGCTACTGATATTCGAGATGTGCTCTGAAGCGAGAAGAGGTGTTTGAATGACGCTGCAACGTAGCGCAAGCTACTTAAAGGGTGGGTGGATTCCCTGACATAGACGTCAAGATCACCAGCCAATCAGTATTGGCGTAATGAGATTGATGCTTCTGTTTGCATACGCGTTGAGGCGCATCCCATACTGAGACATCGAACGGAGTGTTATGAATGAGAACTGTCAAACCCTTCAGTGCACAAACCCATAACACGGGATAAGGGTAACTACATATGAATGAATACTACACTACACATCTAATATAGTAAACTAGGTGCTTACTATCACCTCATTTGTGATTTGTCATCGCTGACTTTCTCAATGGGAGACATGACATTTGTTGTTTTGAACAAGAGCAGTGATTTTTGGCTCATAGGATGTCAATGCAATTCTAAGAAATTGGAGAAGAGTGCTGTCAGTCAGGGAGCAGCGAGTGATACTTTTTATTGAGTTAATGTGTGAAAAGCTTGATTAACATGTGTATGTTGATCCAAACATACTGAGCACACAGGTCGCTACTTTCTGAACGTTAGGGAACTGCTGTGCCCGTTAGTGTGCTGCTCTTGTGCCATTACGGATGAATGCATGTTCCCCTCGTCGATGCAGGGGACCACTTCCTTTGCTCAGGTTGATATGTCCCCCTCTATTGCAACAGTGAAGGGGTCTCTGGCAAAGCCCATCACCTCTTCGTGCAGAGCAAGTCCAATCAACCGGCAAAGTTCTCTTTCAGCCTCGCAATGAAATCTGTCATCACATCCGTGATTTATGCCGGGGATGTGATGTGTTTGAGGAGCGTCGGAAAATGCAGCATCCGACCCGTACTCAAGTCGGTCGCGAAAAGGTCCAGCTTGACTTGGAATGCGCGCATCTGCTCCACAAGATGAATGACCGTTTTGTCTCTGTTTACGCTTCAGAGTTGAGAGAGACATGTTTTAGAGTTGCTATCATAGGACCACCGTTACTAGCACCACTAGATGCACTTTCAAAAAACGTGCTGTGTTGTGGTTTGGTGGTTTCTATGCAACGCGGAGTGTTGCGTTCATGGTCTCTGTACTAGTGTAGGAATTTGGCTGAGGCTGGGCCACTCGGGAGTTGGTTCTGGGCCGCATCTGGCCCGCGGGCCGTCATTTGAATAGGCCTGTCCTAAACGATAGATGGAGATTCTGGGTAGTGTAGTGTCTTCTGCCATCCTTTACTCCGAAAAAATATTTGTTTCTCCGAATCGAAGGGGAAAAATACAAAAGCATTGCACACAATTTAAACCAATCAATGTTGTGTAATTAACAAGGATAATCTGGTGTCGATGAGTAGTGCAGATATCACTGTAAAATCAATCGACAGTAAGGGGAATACTTACTTCCGGGTGTACAATTCTCCGTTATCCAATGGGAATGGACGCTCACATTGCTCACATTTAAGGGCAGCCGACACAAACGAATGCCGTGCTTCCATGAGCGTCAAATCCCGCAGCAGATGGGAACACGTTGCAATCAGTTGAAAGGTATTTGCGTCCCTTTATGAAGCTGAAGGAGCCTAGGAGCGTCACAACTGCACGCCACGGGACCCTGACCAAACGTCGCTCCTGGACGATTATGGAGTGAGAGTGTGTTGATTGGTCATGGGCGCATTCGTGTGTGTGGGAGGAGGGGCTCTATAAGGAAGTGGCAGATTTTCTCCGGTCGTGTATTTTCAAATTCTAGCGATCTCGAGCCGGTTTCTCAAATGTACCTTTAATCTAAAGAAAATAAATGTTTTATTTATTTATGCACAGCAGCACCTCTCTGCTGCAAATCTCATAAGGGGCTTCACGTAAAACTACAAAACTACACAAAAGGTCAAATAAATCCAAAACACATTGTAAATACTTGATTTGTCTTTTGCAGGAGGAAGGGGACCTTCTTTGTCTCCCAGGTGGTCCTGACACCGAAGGCCAGCACCGTGATGAAGGGCATGGCGAGCGGACTGAGAGAGACAATCACAGAAAGGTGTGGACGATGTTTCTATGTTTCTTTAGTGGTGAAATATCACAAAAAATAAACATAACAAAACATAAAGCTCTAACAATGATGACGTATGTGATGAAATGATAAGTCAGAGAATGGAAATTAGACTAGATTCATAAATTAATTGTGGTGGCATTTTTATAATGTTTGCATGAGACACAGTGTGGAGTAGGGGATTGTGTGGCAGAAAAAACGTGAACACAGTTGTGTTTATTGTCTAAAATATGGAATAGGAAAAGTATATCATAATAGGTGTGCAACTGATATATGACAGAAAGAGAGACAACTATGTGTTATACAGCACTAGGATTGAATTAGATGCATGGTAAGCAACACATACAAATATTCAATTTATACACAGGCAACCAAACATCAAGCAACACCTCAGGCGCATACATGTGTACACACACTCACATAACTGTGACTCATATTTGAGTCATCATATAATTTAATAATCCATTGGCGTGTTGCTTTCTACGTTTGACATTGACCTCATTTCAGTTTTTTTGAACAGACAGCTGCCACAAACCTAAGGCGATGCTTCTTTACCACCTCCTCCCTCTTTCTAAACTGCCTCTTCTCAGTTCTTGTTAAAGTTGTCTTTTTCTGATTTACCAGGGGGTCTGTGTGTATATCATTTTTATCTTAATGTCACAAGTTTGTTAAAAGCCTCAGCAGCAGAGCCACCAGTTTCCCGGGCATGAATTATTAATTTGATAACTCCACTATAAGTCATTCTCACCAGGCATTAGGTTACTTTGATGTAGGCATCCTTCAACATTTCATCTATTCCTTTAGCCACACAGACAGAGCAAAGAAAGCGAGCGGGTTGGGAGGAGACATCTGGTGAATTTTGTAGCTCAGAAAGCTGGGTGAGGCATCTGCAGGAGTAAAACCCTCCCCCTGGTGCACGGCACACATGATCATGTCCAGCAAGTGTCATCCTCACAGCTGCTTTCTGGCTCACAGACATCCCATGCTGCGTCACAGAGATCTTTTATCACAGCGTGTCCCTCTCCGTGTTCAACCAGCCAACCGAGAATCATCCCTTCTTCACTCCCTCTCTTTATCTTTTGTGACTTTGTTTCCCCCTCTTCCTCTTTCTCCTAACGTGTGCCTGTGTGTGTTTTCATGCGTCCTCCCAGGGCCTTACCAGCCATGATGCAGTGGATCAGGTCACAGAGACCCGGGGAGAGTGGCATCAACATTATCACAGCTGACTTTGTAGAGCTTGGAGAATTCATCAGCGCTGTCATCACCCTCAACTATCACCTGGACGACGAGGATGATTACGCCACCTGAGAGCCCACAGTGGGCGTTAGGGAGCACAGTCACCACTATCACTAGAGGCTTTGTCTGTGCTCTCACTCTTCTCTCTTTGGCATTTATTTCAGGAGGGGAGCTGCACTGCTCCTTTTAATTTATTTAGGGCTATAGTGGTGTGCAAGCTCAATTGACAGAAGGACGTTGAGGTAAGGGAAGTTGGGATTGGGAGGAACAACAATGGTATTTGGTTGGAGCACAAAGAGAAAGAGGTTTTGTTTGTTTCCTATATTGGGGATCAAAATAGTTTTTTCAAGTGAGATGTTCTTTACTTACTGTGCTATAAAAAAGAACAGTGTTCTCCACTGATTAAATGCACTGTTTTCAGGCAAAGCACTTCACCTGGGGTAGATTGCTCTCAGCATTTCAACATTCTGCTAAATGTATTGGTACATAATTTGTTTTATTCTAGTAAAAGTTTTTTTTGCAGAAATTGGTGTTGAGAAACTTAAACCACTACATTTGTAGATGTTATTTTTACAATAAGCATTCTAAGTCAGATCACTGCGAGTGTTTCTGAAAAGCATATAGGCCTACACAGCAGAATTATTTTAAGTGTTAGAAAAGAAAGCAACCTTTTTTATGTTTCCTCAGCAGTTATCTCACATTGGCTTTTTTCTTTTAGTCTCATCTGAAATAAGCTTGCAGCCTTGAAATTGATCAGACACCATTTTTTGACTTGGTAAGTCATGTTTCACTAATTAATAAACACAGAGAAATAGAGAACGAGAGTGAAGCTTTGTCAGCCAAGAAAAAAGTACCTTTCACAACATGTGTACTTTACATATGGTGCATCAAAACCAAACAATAATTGTAACATGTTATTGTGCAAGGTGACTTAAAAAAATATGTATTTAAGATAGCTAGTAATGTTTTCTATGTTACTAGTCACCTCTAACAGTAAGGAATCCAACATGACACATTTATGGCATTTCGTGGTGGGTGCTGAGTCGTGATAGCCAAGTATAAAACTACAGTAAATCTGGGTATGAGCTTTCATCCGCTGTCTGTGTGTGCACCTTTACTTACTGCTGTAGTGCAGTATATGTGAGTCATCATACGATGTATCACAGTGTTGTTCCTTTCATAATAACAGGTGATAAGGTTTATTGACTCTAACTCAGAGTCAAGATTCATTTGAAGTCAGAAAAGGATTCACGGAGTCAGGGGGTCTTGATGCCACATCAGTGTCTATTGACACTTGTTAAATAACTCAATCAATGTTTGGTTTAATATCTAGCTGTAACTCTTTGGTGTCTACGTAATTAGGTGTTTCATGTTTCTGAATGTCACTGAATCATCTGTTTTGTGCTATATCATTTAGCACACCATTATCTTTCATTTGTCTTGAATTGCTTTAAATATTTAACTTGCAGTATTTGACTAAGATGGAAAAATACCTTGAAATTGCACCCAGAAAGATAAAAATAATATTTTTATTGCGAGGTTTTACACATTATGCATGAAAACAATCACATACAAGTCAAACATCCACACAGCCTATGATCAGTGTTGCACTTTCTGCTGAGAATGTATTCTGTCAGGACACTGTTACTAGTTTGATAATGCACAACCAAAACAGAAAACTCAACTCTTTGGATTTGTGAATGTATGTCATGTGAGTAACTGTGCCATTTCTAAAAAGTACATGTGATCGAGAGACTGAGTCCCAGCTAGAAAGTCCTTTTTGTATTGTATGCTTCAATGTGGAGCTGAGTTCCAGTTTTAGAGTTTAAACAGTACTTCTTTACTTCAATGTGTTTTCATGTTAAAATGTTTTATATTGTGAAAATAAGTCTGTACATACTGTAATTGCAAATAGTATCCTGCCGTTAAATTGCAAATTCTTTAAAGTATTGCAAAATCATTGCTAATAACTTCTTAACTTTGACCTAAACTAAGCTATCATACTATATAAAAACTTCTTCTTTTTTTTCCAGATTTGTGCATGAACCAAACAGTTCTACATTTACCTATTGTTGTTTAGCTCTGTCATTTTCTGCATATTGTTCTCCAGAGCATGGGTGCATCTTAGTTACACAGAAAACAATTACTTTTTAAATGTTGCAGTTCCACTACTCCATACAGATTAAGAATAAAGCAACACACATTTTCAAACTTGAAAAGGCTTAAATTGTGTTGTACGGACATTTGTGTCTTCCCTGGTCCAAACTGTTGTCATTGCCTTTATGTCCTGGTGTCTAACGAGTCCTTCGCTGTTGTTAAAATCAAAAGCTTTTATTCAAAAGTGACTCTGTTCTCAGTGAAAACGGCAAATCAAATAAAGCTTCTCTGCCTAAAGATTGACGATGTGGAGTATCATTTTATGACCATTTACTGGCTTGCTGAGTGTTGATTGGTTGGTTAGACGCTTGACAAACAAAATCATTATTAAAGCCATTATAATACAATTGTGATTGAATTCAATCACCAAATGACAGTACTCTAATTCTAAAGTAGATGTGTGGCTTTTAATCGAACATAACCGTGCTTCATTGCCTATCTGCGCAGAAAAGCATCCTAAAATCATCCAGTTTCCAGGGTGATGAGGATGGAGGTGGGTGGGAAGCGGCACCCAGGGTGACCTTGCTCAGACTGCTTTGTTATTCAGCATCTGTCCTCCTGCTGCCAGGTGTTGCTCATGGAGAGGAAACCGAAATGCTCAGTGCAGAGTGGCCTATTATTTGTGAGCATCTCACTGTAGATTAAAAAAACTGTATTTTGTTGAGTTATTCTGACCTTCTGTCAAGGACCTCATGCGATAACCATGCAGATGCTCAAACAAATCACTGAATGGAAATCTTTTACACGTATAAACACAGGGCTTATTGACATCATGCCACCATAATATTCTGTAGAGTACATCTGCGAGCTGCCTAATACAACTTCAGTGTTATGGTGGTACACATAAACTAGCTGCGCATCGAAGTAGTTATGCGAAGGAAAAGTCGTAAATCATGATTTCTTCCTGTAGATAATTTTGATCATGATGTGATATTTCTTCACATTTTCTTGTCATGTGCGTTGTATTTTGTTTCTATATTGATGTGCCTTATTCCGTTTCCTAATGGACTACATGTCATTATTAAGTCTGTCCAAGGGAAAGTGCAGCGGCACTAATACACTTTGGATTTGATTGAAACAGTCATTCACTGGAGGAATGAAAAAAATGCAAATGCCCATATTTATTGTGTGCCTAAGCGTGTGTGCATGTTTGTGTCTTTCAAACTATCTCTGTCACTCTGAAACACACACACACACAAACACACACACACACACACACACACACACACACACACACACACACACACACAGGCAAACACACAGATAACGAGGAGGAAGATGTGTGGGAGGTAGAGATGGATGATGGCATTCAGACGGTTTAAACAGGGGCAGTAACGAGATGCAAAGCTTTAGAAAAGTTTGGAGTGTGAGGAGGAGGAAGAGTTTATTCACCAGCCACTCCGGTGTCTAGTGATGGGGACTACACGACACAGCAGGTGGCTCTTGTCGGATGGGAAGCTTCACCACAAAATACCATTTTCAGGTTAGCGACATAAAAAGCAACATAACAGGCTTGGACACAGAAAATTAAACAAAGTCAACAACACAGTTGGAGTCATTATCAGGGGCAGACGGGAAACTGGGAGTTGTAATTATTCTTTTTGTCAGTACGTTATGAACAGACAATTACATTACATTACATTACATTACATTGCATTTAGCTGACGCTTTTATCCAAAGCGACTTACAATAAGTGCATTCGAACAAGAAGATACAAACTTGAAGAAAACAGAATCATATAAGTACATCAGGTTTCATAGAGCCAAACCATTTCAAGTGCTACTCAACTGGCTTTAGATAAGCCAGTCCTTTATTAGTATACAAGTGCTTTGTTAGTAGGCTATGTAAGTGCTTAGTTAGTATATAAGTGTTTTTTGTTTGTTTTTCATTTTATCGCTCGAAGTGGAGTCGAAAGAGATGAGTTTTCAGTCTGCGCCGGAAGATGTGTAAGCTTCCTGCTGTCCTGATGTCAATGGGGAGCTCATTCCACCATTTTGGAGCCAGGATAGCAAACCCACGTGTTTTTGCTGATGGGAACTTGGGTCCCCCTCGCAGTGCGGGTGCAGCGAGCTGTTTGGCTGATGCAGAGCGGAGTGCACGTGCTGGGGTGTACGGTTTAACCATGTCCTGGATGGATGGAGCGGTGTGGTGTGGGAGAATTTAGGAAGGTTGAAGACCGGACAGGCCGCTGCATTCTGGATGAGCTGCAGAGGTCGGATGGCACATGCAGGTAGACCAGCCAGGTACAGAAACACACAACCCTTTTAGGATTATTGTATTTACGTTATTATAATTGCCACCTCTCTTCAAATTGAACCTGAACCAACGTGTGGGTCGGGGACCCTAACCCCTCACACTAACACACAAGGGTTTCACATGTTTGATTTAAGAGAGTAAAAGATAAATACCAGAGTAGGACATTGAAAAAAAAAAGATAACATGTCTGACCTTTCCTTCACTTTTTGAGCAGGTGAAAATTCAAGGGAAGGCAGGTACTTTTATTTGTAGGCAATTTAACACAGGTCAATTGCTTTATAAAATATAGAAACACTTTATTAAATTACTTTAAATATAAAAAGTCAAGACAATACAATTAAAACCATCTAATGTAGAATAAGACAAGTAAGACAAAAAGTTACAATAGATATTAATATGTATTACATTTATTAGAAGGCAACAGGAACAGAAAATTCCTTGATTAAAAAAAAGGACCGTTTTGCGCGACCTTGCCGTTTTCCGGACATTTCTTCAAATTTTCTGGTAGTTTGTAAGTGTATCTCTTTGCATTGCTGAAAGTATCCGGATAAAAAGGCCTGTGTGAGAAAGAAACTTCTCAGTTGTAGTAGCAATGTAGCTTTAGCCATTAGCCTTTTCAAGGTGTTTGGGGTGGGTACAGTTACAAGAACAACCAAATATTCTCCCTCATTAGCATCTGAAGGCTAGGAGTTTCTCTGCACTTGTACTTCACCATTCCCCTCACACTGGAAATGAGTAATTAGGCATAAGGGATCTCACACTGCCTCGCACACTTGTCATATTCATAGTAATCTTTCCCAGGACTCCCACCTCACCACGACACATGTATTTAACACCGGCCCAAGGGTTAAGTGCCTGGAGGCTGTCGGGGGTGTGTGTGTGTGTAATGCATTTACAGCAGGGTTAAAGGGTTGTGTATGTGCTAATGTGTGTAAGTGAGAGAAAATGTGATGGTAATTGTGACACACAGATGTTTTGTAACTGCACATTAACACATGTTGGGTGCAGCAGTTATTACCGTCATCATTAGTGAATTTTCGAGGCCTGTATGTGTAGTTGCAGTTTGGAGAGGATATCTCACTGAACAGACATTCAGGCTTACAAATCCTACATGCTGAGTCAAATACACACTGATATCCCTACATTTACATATAAATAAGAGAAATACTGTAGCTGGGGATAGGCACATTCTGCCACCATCTTGCATACAAATACAAAGACAACCACACTCAACATTAACAAGAACAGTCAGTGTCTGATGAGTGAAGAAGTGGGCCAAAAGCTGTGCCTTGTTAGCATAAGCTGTCAAGATACATTTCTGCAGGGAAGGACCAGGGGAATGTGTCCACACTTTATTTTACCAAGAATCTGACGCCGTGCTTGTCACACTTGATGCTAATATGAGTGAAACCTCATTCTGTCAAAACCTGTTAGTTGACGAGGATATAACTCCTGCCAAGAAAAGCAAGAGAAAGATAAATCTAGTTTAGGAATATGTTGTTTATTTCCAGCTAACATAATGTAATAGGAGAGTAAAGTCTCTGTGTTTCAATTATGAATATGCACCGGCAGGAAATGCACCATCTGTGCCTGTCTGCTCCAGTTATCAGATGAGAAGAAGTGACATCCGATTCTAACCGTGTTCAGACGTCGAGTGCATCAAGTGTTTGTCAGCAAGACGGACTTACAGACATTTAAAATGCATGCAAATGCTACTAACATATATATTTGGTCAACCTACATTTATGAATTTGACGTTTTCTTTGTATCATCTTCTCGATTTTCCTGTTTTCTGTGGCATAATAGAATTAAATACTTTAAATGTAAAATAAATAAAACGGTGATACAATGACTGCAAGGACACAAGACGCTTTCACACCGCAGTACTTTTCCCACTTTAGTTCCGAAATGTTGCGTTCACACCAAAAAAATCCGGAACAGAAATTAGTTCATGAGAAAAAGGTTCCTATTTATGATTGGCTGGGCGGATTGCAAACCAAGGCCCGTAAAACTCCCAAAATGTTTTGTTAAGCCGCCATTTTATTATCCTCGCATTAGCATTATTAGCATTAGCATTAGCCCAGCGCAGAAACGCATAGAGACTAACTTATGGCAACACAAAAACAAACATGAGAGCGGTGGAGATGAGGAGGTGTCGGCTTTCTGGTGATTTACTCGGAAGGCTTCAGTAGAAGCTGCTGGGAGTCCCAGCAGCTTCTACTGAA